TCCAAGCTGTGACAAGTGGCTGCTGCCCAGCGGGGCTCCTTGCTCCTCGTTGTCCCTCGGGCTCCTCAACCTGCATGGCAACACTCAGGAGACAAGTGAGTGCAGCTCAACCTCTTGCAGGAGGTTGCCTTTCTTTCCAAAACTCACCCGGTACACGGAGAAGTCCCCCTCTGCTGCTGGATGGGGATGCCTCAGGCCCTTCCCTGGGGCCAGCCTGCAAGAACCAGGCTGCGCTTAGAGAGCAGCCCCGCAGCAGAAAAGGGCCACCAGCATCAGCAGCCTGAGCATGGCACAGCTGGGACCCTCTGCCCTCCCAGGCTCCCTGCCTCCTGTCTGAGGAGTGGGCTAGACAGATGGCAAGCCTGGCCAAAGAGAGCATTCCGTCCCATAGTATACATCCCTTTTGGTATATATTCCAGGATCATGACAGTCAAACCCAGTTTGCTTTTCTTCCATCCATGGCCAGCATCTGGGAAGGTCTCCATCACTGTTGGGGATCATCACCACTGATCCTGAGGCCTGTGCATTCCTGACCCTCATCACTCTACCCTCAGCTCCTATCTGCTCTGCCGCTCTCTCCAGCAGCTTCAGGACATTTCAGGACTGTTGGCAGCTCATGAGATGCTGTGGGAGTTGCTGGGGGTGGGGGGAGGTGGTAAGAGTTTGCACATTCCTGAACACATTTGTATATAATTCTACATATTTTCTCTCATCATTAGTATTTAATTAAAGCTGTCTAGTTTAGTTACCAATCTGCAAAGCCTCTGTCCTTATTCTCTCTCTCCTTTCCACCTGGGTGTGAGGGGGAGATGGCTGAGGAGGAGGGGGCAGCAGGAGACAGCTGCATGACAATGAGAAAGAGGAGAGAGGAGGAGAAGAGGGAGCAAATGGACTCCTAGGTGAGGGATTTGGTTGTCCCTACCATGCAAAACTGGCCCCTTGGGGTCTTGGCAAGTGTAGGCAGCATTTCTGCAAGGGTCCCCCTCCTGGCTGTCCCCCCAGGGGAATGAGATGGTCCATCCCAGGGTGGCTGGCTGAGGATGTGTCCATCTCCAGCTGGACAGCAGCGGCTGGAGGAGCACAGGAAGATCATCCTGGAGCAGCTCAAGGGAAGGGTGCCACTGCTGGAGTCTGATGCTGCAGCCAAGATCACAAAGTGAGTGAGACGGGGACGAGGGTGGCTGTGGATACAGTGCGGGCCTTGATCCCTCTGTCTCTGCTCTCCATGCTCTTCAGCTAACTATGGAGCGGCAGAGGAGCTTTCCAATGGTCCTGATCCAACTCCAAACCCTCCTGGCCATCCTTAATCCTGATCCTCAGCAGACACAAATCCTGGACAGGTTCCAACAGGTAAATAGTACCACCAAGAGTCACATGCTGGGCAAGGAATTCAAGTCAAAAGCAGAGCAAATCCCACCTGATTTCTCTCAGACAGGTCACAAGAGGATTCTGCCGTGGAGCTGGAGCAGGTGCTGCTTCCTCTCCACAGCCCTGTTTGACTGGGCCAGGCCCTGGGGTGCCAAGTGGTCAGCCTCAGCACCTGCATCGGCGGAGGTTCCACGATGCTTGTTCTCCCCCCCATGGACCTGCAGCCCCAGGCCTGGGTTACATTTGGCTCTGTTGCTGCCATTGGGAATGCACACACATGGCATGAGGTAGAGAGCTTATAGGGAGAGGCATCTTCCACCAGGGCCACTGATGGACTGGGCTGGGAGTCAGACAAGGAGAAGGCATATAGATGTGATGCTTGGAGATAGGGTTTAGGGGTGAACATGGTAGATGAGGGTTAATGGTTGGACTTGATGACCTTAAACGGCTTTTCCAACCTAAATGATTCTATAATTCTATGAAAAATTGAGAAGAATAAAAGTATTTTTCAGGAATGCAGCAGGTAGCACTGTCCTTATGCATGAAATTTAATCCCTGGTAGCTATGTAACTACTAGATTAAAACACACCCATCTCCCCTAATTTCATCGTTCTGGTGAAATTTGCCTTACGGCTATGTTTCAAACTGGCTTCTCATCCTTAGAAAAATTTTATTTGAGAACTACAGAAGGTGCTTTGAAAATTATCTCTGCTAGTATCTTTTCTGAGGCTTGAAATGGCTGCTTAGAATGGGAGCTTGCTAGCAAATAATGTATTTTTTCCCTCTTCTTACTCACTTCAACAATGCAATACCAACTTTTGCTTTTATCTTCATGTACTTGTGAGAAACGTTTGTCGCGCCAATGAACAGGCCCAAACAGATCCCTCAGCGAAGCACAGTTTATTTACGCTCTTGCAAGAATGGGTGACCTAAACAAGTAGGCACACCTGTAGGCAGGTGAAGAACGGTTTATATTCCCTATTCACGACGCAAAGGTCCCTCCCCTCTTTCCCCACTGGCTAGGTAGGTCAGGGTTTACAGCCCATCCCACGCTTCCAATTATCCTATAAGTTTCCCGCCCCTGTTTCCACGTTCCATTCTAGCAGTTTACTTTTTACCTTTTCAGGTAAAATTTTGACCTTTCTTGCCCCCTTGCCTGTAACCAACTGGTGGAGCAAGACAGAATGGGCATTTGTTTGGTCTTATCTTGGGCCATAAATCCTGCTCCATGTTCGGATCCCCAGATGGAGCCCAAGTCACTCCCTCAGCTTCTTGGACCGTAAACCACTCCCAGTGTCCTTGGAATGTGCAGATGTCTCACTTCTCTCAGACAAACGATTATATTCCTAACACTAGGGTATATGTACAAAAAAACCCCAAACCCGACACTATGTTTCTCACACTAGGATGCAAGAACAAGACTACATTTCATTTCTAACAAAAGTAGCAATGCCCAAACGCCTGCTCCAAGGGTGGGGGGCTCTTTGTTGCAGCTCATTCATATGTTAGCAGGGGGAATCCAATTCCTCTGTTTTTTCACCGCAAAGCTGCAGGCTGTCCCCAGGACAAGCTGTGGGCACCACTCCTCTCCATCCCTGTCCTCTCTCCTGCATGCACTGCTCTCCCCTCTGCTCCCGCCTTGCTCTCAGCTCTGCTCTGCACCTCCCCTTCTTCGCTCTGTTGATGGCAGAGGCACAGCCATCCTCTCTGAGGCCTCCGCCTTGGCCAGAGCTCTGGCCACATGTTTTGCAGGCGAGGAAGGTTTGCAGCGTCTTGCAGGAGCCACCCCTGGGGCTCGTCCCCTACCACCAGACGGTGGCCAGACCAAACCAGCACAGTCCCAACTGGTCCCAGCTGCTGAGGGTGGGGTGTCTCCACAGCCACCACCAGCCCTTTGTGATGCGGGGCCTGTTGCCCAGACACCCTTGTGACGAGGGTCTCCCTGGTGACGATGGGGGTATATAAGGAAGCCGAGCCCTGGGATGCCCACTCCCAGGAGAGCATCTCCCTCAGGAGGCAGCAGCTCCCCTGGACACCCGAGGATCGTCTGCAGCAGTGGACCGCCAAGATGTCCATGGAGAAGGAGAAGAAGGCCCGTTCTCAGCCCGCCAAGAGGCTGTCAGCAGGCCTGCAGCAGAGGCAGGGTAGACTTGCCATTTGCTGTGTATGTTTCAGCCTGCTTGTGGTGAAGAACGTCCCTTTTAGTGAAGCTTTTCCTTTTTCTCAGTGTTTAAGAAGCTTTTAAGCGTCTAATGGCAATTTTTGTGTCGTGTTCTTGCATTTCTGGCACAGCTAGATCTGCACGAACAGATGGCCATAAATACTTCTGTGCCTAATGGATTTTTATCATGGTGTGTGCAGAGCTATTTTATTGAACTGTGATAGTGATTTTGCAGGGAAGGAAGCCCCAGATACCCTAATCTTCAGCCCTGCAGCTCATGAGCTATCTTATTTGCAGGCACTGTGGGTGAGGAGGGGAGTTAAGCCGTGTATTTTGTTCTTTTTGGATTAGATTTAGCAGTCATCTGTTTGACAGGAGGGTGTGAGTCTCCAGGCATCAATTCCAAGTAGAACGCTGGCTGGTCAGTACTGACCAGTGGCTGGGGCTGCAGGTGCCCTTCACAGATAGGAGACAACTGTCAGAAAATGTGCATGCATGGAGCTGCAATAGAATCTTCCTGTAGTACAACTAAGTGCGTTGCACACTTTGTTGTGTGCAAGCATGCGCTGCAAATAAACAAAAAACACCCGTGTTCAAAATTGATGAGTGTATTTTTGTTTTTCAGACACCATCAGCTGTTCAGAAGATCAAACAGCTGCTTAAAGATAAACCTGAGCATGTAAGTATAAACAGGGCTGGAAGTTTGAAGTAAACATGGAGGTGTTTATTGCAGGTACTGGCATCTTTTGTTTTTAGAGGGGAGTGTGTAAGTTTGTTTATCCATCAAGCTTTGTTTCTTTATAGAAGGAAATGCAGGACATACCTGACTGTAAGGACATTGCAATGTACAGGTACATTTGAGATGAATAATTTTTTTTTAAAAATATACTTTGAAATTCTTAGGATTATATTGTAGCAAGGTCTCTTAGTATGGCATAGTGGTCACTCCTGATAGTGAGAGAGATCTTCAACTGTTGATATTAGTGAGTTATTAATAAAGTTCTTGTGGGAGTTATCATTGTGAAGTATCTAATAAATAAGTTAGATGTTTTCCAGTGGGTATGAATCTAATTGCCAGATGCTGTGTTTTTTTAAGCAATGACCATTCCTCCAAGTAACTAATTGAGGTTGTAGTCTTTTCTTCTTGGGGAAAAACACAGTCTTGCTTTCTAACCATTATAAAAACAAGCGTTATATTTTCTTCTTTACAGTGAGTATTATTTCAAGAATAATATTTTTCTTTCAACTTTCATACAAGGCACATTGTTTCTTTTGCTTCCTTCACATCTGCAGCTAACTAGACTCTTTGTTCTGTTGCTTTAAACCACCCTAAGGAAGCCCTAAAGCTACAGCTTAGCTGGTCAGTCATCCTTTAGTATAAACAGTGTTTGTGTTTTCCAGCCTGTTAACTTCTAGCAGATCCTGTAGATAGAGAGATTTAGTCTGGGAAGATCAAGAGCACCTGTTTGTCTGAGATCCCACTTGATGAGAAGTGATAGGTTTTAATGTGTTTTTATTGTAACACTGATTACAGAGATGGACAGCATAATTTTCCTCTTCAATTATGGAGCATTGCTATGTAGAAGATGGTGCAGAAGTCGTTTTCTGTTTCCTAGAAACCTTTTCTTAGTTCCTTACTTACACGGGTGCTTGTTATGTCAGACTTGTTAGACACTGTTAATACAACAAATGTCTTGACTAGGTTGGCTTTTGAAGTCAATTAAGCCACTAAGCAAATACACATACTTGATTTAAGGATTTGCTTTTAAAGTCAGGCCGACTGTAGAGGTAATGAAAGTGAAGTACACTTTTCAAGACTGAATTAAGTTTTCTGGTGGTGTCATTTCAAAGATTCTGTGGAAGTCTAGTAAATTCCCTTGTCTTGGCCTTGCAGCTTCATAATTGCATTCCTGTCAGTAATCTTAACGTAGTGCCCAAATTAGCATCTGAGTAAACTTTTAATTTGAAGTCACAAAAATATTCGTCTTTGAAATTTGACTGTTTTGATGAGGCTAGGCACCTAAAGGAGTGCCAGCAGTTTATTACTTCAAAACTTAAGCACACTTCAAGGCTTGCTGCAGAGTAGCAAACATCTGATGTTTGCTTTTACCTTAACCATCAATTTCATAAAAGGAAAAAAATGTTACCTCTTAATCGATTAAGATAATTCACTTCTGCATTGAGGTAGGGGAGAATAGTAAATATCAACATTGTTTTGTTCTGCAGTCGTTAATGTGATGTTGTGGGTTCTTTGCTTTTTTTAGGTAGGTGTGAAAGTAGGTGTTCGTACAAGAGGATGCAATGGACTCTCTTACACACTAGAATATACAAAATCGAAAGGAGACTCTGATGAAGAAGTAGTTCAAGATGGTGAGTTTCTGATGCAGTAGAGCAAACTTCTGTGGGAGTGTGGAAGAGTAACCTATTACAGGTTTGCCAGCCTACAGGTTAAGAGCTTCCTTGAAGTAACAAGTTACAGCAAGAGGTCCTGCTGTTCTTTTATGGGAGTTGTCACCTTAGTTTCTGTTTTGAAGTAACTGGTTTGTTAAAATCTGCAACTTTGCAGTCTCTCCATCAGAGACTACTTCACCAGTATAGTCTAGTCTGACCTTTACAGCTTTGGAGTTGTCTAATAGATATTTAGAGAATAATACAGAACAATGGCTGGAATTCTTCATCAGCATACCTAAACCAAGGCTTGGCAAAGTAAAGCTTTTATTTGCAAGGGATTTTCCTCATTATCTTCTCTAATTAGTCTTAATTGATTTGTATTTGTTTTTAATTTCTTTATGCCTTTGACCTTTACATTGCTTTGTAACAATGGGTTCTGTGATCTTAATGTAAGGGTATTTTTAAATTGTTTTCACATGTTGGTGTTTAAGCACTCTGCCTGATCATTTCATTGAGCGTTCCATGATAGGTCTGTTGCTGAAGTTCATGTTGTGGTTTAGTCTGAGCCGCCCAGCCAGCCACTAAGCCCCACACAGCCAGTCACTCACTCTTCCACTGTGGGGTGTTGGAGAAGAGTCAGAATGGTAGCATTGAGAAAACCCTTGGGTTGAGATAAAGACAGTTTCACAGATAAAGCAAAAGCCACATGTGCAAGCAAAGCGAAACAAGGAATTTATTCACTACTTCCCATCAGCAGGCAGGTGTT